CCCCCCAGGGCTCAGAGCTCTCACCGGCACCCCTCTTCCCACATGGGGAGCCTTGGTCAGGGAATCCCTACTGCCCAGCATGTCAAAGATGAGCCAGCGACTAAAGAGGCTCAGGGTTCTCAGATGCAAAAGAAATTCAGCACCTACTATGTGCCCTGTGCCAGGCTAGGTAGGCACTTTGTGTATAAAAATCTCATTTCTCAAAAATCCCATGAGGAGGATTTTTTAAAGTTGAACTCATTTTTCAGCTAAGGAAAGTGTGCCCAGGAAGGTGGAAAGGCCCACCCATGATCATGTCATGGCGCTGGTCAGCAGCCGTATGAAGATGTGAGGACCTGGAGTCAGGGCTCTTGCTTGTGGCCCTCCTTCTGACCTCACATTCATGGTGGTTTGTCCACCCTCAGCTCTGCCCACTGTCCTTTGAGCCATGAGCTTGTCCGAGTCATCCCAGCACTAAGAGGTCTTCCATCTGGGTTTGCTATCTAAACTAGTCCTCCTAATTATCCTGTAAGCATCGATATGATTCCTGTTTTATAGATGATGAAACTGAGGCTCAGAGAGGCTCAGTCACATACCTGAGGCCACACAACCACTAAGGGGCAGAACCTGGGTCTAGAACCTCAGTTGGAGAATCAAGGACTCCTTCTGCACCAGGCTGCCTCTTTGCCCACCTCTAGGGATGCCCCTGCCTGTGGCCCTCAGTGCTCTACCTGCCCTGAGTCCTGCCGCGCACCCACCACTGCAGGGTGATGAACAGCGTGGGCTAAGGCTGGTGATCTGGGTAGGTGGCAGGGGTGTGCAGCTCTAGGGCCCAGACTGAGGGTAGAGAATGCTGGTGACAATCAGCGCCTTTCCTGGGTCCCTCTGCAAGCCCATCTGGGCCCTCAACATGTCTCCCTCCCGACACTAGGATACGGTGGGCCTGTGTATCTGCAGGAGCCAGTCTGCAGCCACCTTTGGGCCTCTTGGCCACTGGGAGCCAAGACTTCGATGGGCACAGGGTGATGCAGCAGAGAGAAAAGGACCCTGGGTTTGTGGCCTGCAGACTTGAACCCAAGTCCTGAGTCTGCCACCTTGGTCAAGTCACGTCGCTTCTTTGAGTTTGTTTCCCAGCCCATGAGATGGAAGAATGCCTGCCCACCACTGGTCTAAAAGCCAGAGGACAAGAGTCACAATGAGAATGTCCTTGAATGTGAAGCCCCAGCTGGTTCTGAGCTGAGCCCAGAGGGTGCAAACAGGTCTCTGTTCAGGATAGTCACACCTGCTGAACAATTCTTCCTAACCCTCCACTTCCCTGTGCCTTAAATGACCCCTCATGGTGGAGTGAGAGAACGCACTGAACCAGGCAGACCCGAGCCTAAATCTTGGCCATGTGCTCTCGAGCCTGCTCCTTTAATGAGCTTTCATTTCCCATCTACAAAGGTGCCTGTCCCAGTCCTTGGAAACACTGTGGATGCCTAAATGAGACATTATATGTGGGATCACCCAGCCCAGCCCCAGAATAAAATAGGAAATTTGAGTTTTCTCCCTCCTTGCTCTGATGCTTCGTGTAGTGACACGTTGCCTCAGCAGAGAAAATGTTTGCAAAATAGAGGTTTAAGAAAGTGATCAGAAAGGTGGAGGCAGGGGAGAAAACAGGGATCCCCTTCACAATATTTCTATCATCTTTAAAAGAAGGTGCCTGAGGTCCTGCCTTCCTGGGGGAAAAACGAACGCACTGGGCCATAAAAATGAGCCGCACTCCTGAGCATCCCCCCGCTGGCTTTGTTACTGCCACTCCCTGCCTTGCTGGTGCCTTCATCTGTGTGCCTTCAGGAGCTCTGTGGCCCTGCTGCTCAGTGAGGGCAAATCAGGCACGGCCAGGACCTGTGTGTAGCCAGCCCTCCACCAGCTGTCCCTGTGACGGCTGATGGGCAGAGCTCTTCATCCAAGTCTCATCTTCCTGCCCATGCTGGGCCAGCCCGACCCCTCCATGGCCTTACCACCAAAGACAGACTTGGAAGAGGCCTGCACCCACTCTGAGATTCAGTAAAGAAGCCAGTTTATCATCATCTGGCCAAGATGCTACCTGTTATTTCACATCAACGGGAGGGAGCTTCTAGCTGTGAAGCTAACTTTGCAGGGACGCCCACAGGCTTTTGTTGGGCCCCTGAGATAACCCCCCAGAAGCAAGGGTGGATGGCCGGGGTGGGAGAGTGGGGGGCTTCTTGATTCTGACTTCTTCCTATTTGGTGGCAGCTTTCCTTTCTGAGGATGGTCAGCCTTGGTGAAGTCAGGGACCGCAGCGTCTGTGAGGTTTGGGGCTCCCCTAAGGATAACCTGCTCATTCTCAGCTCCCTGTGTGTTACAGGGAGGGAAACGTGTCCACCAAGCAGATTGTCTTTCTTCAGAGACCGTGTCTACCTCAGAAAATCAAGAAGAAGGAATCCAAGGTGAGTGGCCTTGATTGCCTTCCTCGGGTTTCTTTAGTGGGGCTTCATCTTCAAGGGGATTTTTCTACAGCAGTTGGGTGGGCATCCTGCTCCAACTTCCAGCGGCTCTGAGCCCAAGGACACCTGAGCCCCTTGGCAAACTGATTCAGGCCTGAAGCTGCCAAAATGGGACAGGCGAGGGCACTGGAGGGCCTCGCCTGCCAGTGTCCTGCTGGTCAGAGTGGAGAAGAGAGGTTCTTTCAGACACTCCAGCCTGCCAGATATTCCCACTGGGCTAAAAATAGGGGCATGAAGTCAGCTGTAGTCTGACGGGATGCCAGTGGGGGGGTGGCTTGAGCTCAGTGTCTCTGCATCTTCATCTCATTACAAGCTGGCTGGAGCTCTGGCCTGCCCGCTGAATCCCTCAGGACATCAGAAGTTTGGTAATCTTGGCAGACAGACCCTACTAGAGGCCCTTTTTGACTGGCCCCATCTGAAAGCATCTTGAGTGACAGCAGCTGGTCTAGACAGAGGTCAGCCATAGCCCGTGGCAGTGAGTCCTCAGGTCAGGCTGCCCTGCGATCACCAGAGTCCGTCTCCCCTCACTGGTCGTTGCATGAACCGTCGGGAAACACAGTCCCACTGTGAGACTGTGGCCATCCTCAGAATATCTCCTGTGTTTGATGGAGTCCAGCCCAAGTCCTCCCCTTGTGTCAGATGATTCTGATGTTCCACACCCCATGCTTTGCAGCTGGTGGGTGCTTTTCCTGGGGGTGTTTCACTGGTTGCTCAGGAAAAGGCAGGTGAGTGGAGGGAACCTGCCCAAGCCTAAGTCAGGAGTCACCTGGAGCCAGCTCCCTCCACCTTCAATGGCCAAGGCCATGCTCGCTCGTAGAGCGTGCTGGGCCTGCTTGCTCCTCACATGTGGCACCATCGCGTGCTCCCCAGTCTTGCTTCCTTGTGTTGTTTGGACATGGAGCCTGGACAGGAGCACCAAGCAAGTGAACAGATTGGAGCAGCCCCTCACCAGCCAACAAACCCAGGGGGAACCCATTCGTGGGACAAATGCCAAGGAAACGGCGCCTTGAAGCCAGATGGGGTGGAGTGCAGAGACCGTCTCTCTCCAAGCTCTGAAGCACTAATGTGACAGGTGATAGCAGCAGAGAACCAGAAGGCAACTGCCAAATCCACCATTAACCACCAGGAGCAGTCAGCCGCCAGCTAGAAGATGGATCAGCCGTGGCTGCTTTCAGCGGCGGCTTAGCCATAGGCTCCGGGGGACTGTGCCCATTCACAGAGTGACATTCAACAACGACGCAGGCGAGGTCTCCATTAGCCACCAAAAGATACCCGCCTCCAACTTTCAGAGAGGGCGGGGGTCTGCCTTTTCCCAGCCGCTCTCCTGGTTGTGGTGCTGGCGGCTCCCAAAGCAAAGACAGTGGTTTGATTTTGGTGCATCTCGGGGGGCGGCCAGTGGAACCCTGAGCGGGTGGGGAGATTTTAGAGGTCGAGTTTTAAGGCGGGTGTAAGAAGGTAGAGTGACTTTCCCAGGGGGAATCCAGGAGGGTGGGAGCCTTTTATTTTCTGGTCAGTAGAAACTCCCAGCCCCAGTCAGCTATACAAATATAGGTCAGTTCTTTCTCCTTTAAGTATTTCTTTATCCCCCACTCATCCCAAAGATCGGCTGGTGCTGAGCATTTGTTCTCAGTGTAACCTAGAGAGATCACCTCGCTAGTGGAGTCCCAGAGAGGGGACTTCCCAGCACACCTCTGTCTCCCTCTCCCTGTCCCTGTCATTCGCTCCTCAGCTGACTCAGGTGGGCATTCTGCTCCCACGAGGTCTGTGGGCCCCCATGACTTCTGGTAACCCCTCCTAGTCCTCACGGCACCGACGCTGTCGGCTGCCCTCTACCTCTCGAAGCACCTTTTTCCCTTGGCTCCTGGTTCCCCACCAGGTCCCTCAGGGGTCAGACCAGCCCTGCTTCTCTCACTCTCTTACCTCACCCTTAGAGGTAAGTCTCTTTCATCCTCAGAGTGAGAAAATCTCTCCCCACCTCTGTGTCATGACTCTCACATCTGCCCTCGCTGCTCCCCTGAGGCCCGGCTCACCTATCCCTTCGATGCTCAACAATCCCAGAGCATCTCGGGACTTTGCTCCTCCCCTCCCCGTGCCACCTCCCCTTACCTAGAGGAAGGGACCACCACCAACCCAGAGGCAGCGGCCCGCCTGCGGGTCATCCTTGGCCCTCCCCATCTCCTCCCCCCATCCGGTCAGGCCTTAAGACGTGTCTCTTTTAGGTCCTAGAATCTCCAGAATCCTCCACTTCCCTTCACCCTCACTTGCCTCCGCTACTCCAGTCTCCTGATGACAGGCCTCCCTTCAAATGTTCTCTACTCAGGGCCAAAGTGATCTTTCGAAACAGCCAATTAAACCATGTCACCCCACTGCTTTAAACGGTTCTAAAGCTTTGTGTTAAGTAAGATAGGATGAGAATCTGTAATGGGGTCCCCAAGGCCCTGTGTGATCAGCGTCCCTGTTCTGCACTCCAGCTGTGTGGCCCTGCATGTTCTTTGTGCGTCTCCCGCCTCAGGGCCGTTGCTTCGGCTGTTCCCTCTGCCTAGGGCTCTCTCCCCCTTTGGATTTCTCAGGATGGTGTGCTGCCCTGGGAACGTGCTACCCACGGTCTTCTCTTCCAGAACTCGCTAGTTGTGCTCATTCGTTTTTCCTCTCCTGGCAGATTCGGTCCACGAGAGCACAGACCTTTTCCTCTGACTATTGTGTGCCCGATACCTGGCTTTTGGGTACTCAACAAATATTTGTTGAATTAGTGAATCAGTAATCAAAATTCTGAGCCCCGGACATGCCTATCATGTCCAGCATTGAAATTTAAGAAAAGAAATCCCAAGATTGACACACCGAGGACCAAGCGTATTTAGCCCTGTTTTAATCAGCAAAGTGGACAGAATGGTCTAATCAAGACTTTTCAGCATTTGAAAGAAACCTCTTTGTGCGAGTGTGGCTTTCAAGGCAGATATGAAGCTCCTTCGAAGGTGATGGGTGGTCTCCACGACTCCGGAGAAGCCTTCTTTCTGGCTAGCCTAGCTGAAGCTGAGGCAGATAACAGACAGTTGTTAAAATGTGTGAATTAAATCCATTAGCCCCTGCTGACACGGAGCTCTGGACACACGCTGCTGTAAAGTGGATTTTTTTCTTTCCTGCAGTTATTTCTGACATGGACAGCTGTTTGGAATCTTTCCTAGTTTAGGCACCACCGACACACCCAAGGGCCACAGACACCCAGTTTGGGAAGGCCAGCATCCACATACACAGCCTGTCCAACTAGCGGCTGAGTGTCGAGTTCAGAGACTCCCTGGTTCTGCTCAAGATACGGAAACATCCCCCAGGCTGCACTGCCTGCCTTTAAGTGTGGATGTTACCGACCTGCCCTCAGGGCCGCAGCCCCAGAAGTGGTCACTGTCCCTGGGGCTGCCACACCCCTGCCTCTCCTCTCCTTGCTTTCTGAGATACCATCTTTTTGAGCCTTGAAATCTGGAGCAGTTTTTGTTGTTTGTTAGAGACTGTGACTGTCCCCAACTTAGAGGAGGAAGAGAAGCCCGGGTGGTGAAGGGAGCCAGGTGTGAAGGTGAACAGGTGGATGGGAGGGAGACAGAAGAAGCCCTTCCATGGATAGCAGGGCTGGGAGCTGGGGGAGGCC